TCCTTTGCTGGTTTGTGCTGGTCCTTTGCTGGTCCTTTGCTGGTTTTAGCTGGTCCTTTGCTGGTTTGTGCTGGTCCTTTGCTGGTCCTTTGCTGGTTTTAGCTGGTCCTTTGCTGGTTTGTGCTGGTCCTTTGCTGGTCCTTTGCTGGTTTTAGCTGGTCCTTTGCTGGTTTGTGCTGGTCCTTTGCTGGTCCTTTGCTGGTTTTAGCTGGTCCTTTGCTTCCCAGCGTCAAAACATACCTAACCAGCATATGCTGGTTTTTTCAACAGGGTGCTAGCAGGATTTAACATGTTGCTAGCATTTTGTTAACATGATTTAACATGTTACTAGCATGTTTTAGCATACTGCTAGCATGAGTAGCACATTTCTAGCATGTTTTAGCATGAGTAACACGTTGTTAGCATGTTTCTAGCCTGACTCAACCACAGAGCAGTGCATGCTGGGAGGGTCGCATCCAAAGATGGTTTGGGTTTCTTCTGTCCAAGAGCAACACGCGGCACAGTGGCACGATTCAGGCTTCATGTAGCATCGTTAATAATGAAACGCCTGTTTCAATCTCCCTTGTGTTTTAATGGTCGGGTTTAATTGCAGATTCAAGAAAAACACATCTGATTTATGCTGTGTGAGTCCAATTTAAATAGAAAACACACAAAGGATTATTTTGACATGAGCTCGCACATTTTACGCCTCGTTGGCTGCATTTAGTGACAAATTACCAGAGGAAGTTATGTGGGAAGTGTGGTCAGATATGGTATATCAGAGAACGTCACAATAATCTATATTGGTAAATGATGGAAAATATCAGACATTGAGAAGATGTAAACCATTGTTGCAAACGTAATTTGTGAGTGTTTCTTAGAAATCACACACTAGACTAAACAAAACCTTGTTTTGGTAGGAAAACCTGCGTGTAAACTTGTAATTTAAAATTGAAGGAAACTGATAAAGTTAGGACAATACTCCACGGAGTTTAGTAGAAGAAATGAAATGTTAATATGATAAAGCAAACAAAGCTTGAGTGCACATGAATCTGATTACAGCTCATGTTATTCCCGTTCCACACAACATTCCTTACGCTCAGAGCCAACATGAGCCTTTACAGTAGCATAATCTACATACCTTTCTGTATTAAATACACATTGTTCATATTCATTATGTTCCAACATTTTATTGTATTAGTATATTCTATGGGAGCCCAGTTGAAGATTTTCCTTTAGAGGTTCCCAGGATTTAAAAATCCGGAGCTCTGAAGAAAATGTGAGTGACGCTTGTCTGTGTAAAAACCTGCAGTGACAATGATAGGGTGTTATGGATGGTTGCCAAGGTGTTGCTATGCAGTTGTTAAAGTGTTCTAAAGTGTTCAGTGTTTTAGAGTGTTGCTATGTAGTTGTTAGGGTGTTGTGGATGGTTGCCAAGGCGATGCTATTAAGTTTTTAAGGCATTCTAAGTGTTTTAGCATGTTGCTATGTAGTAGCTAAGATGTTGTAGATGGTTGTTAGGGTGTTGCTATACAGTTGGTAAGGTGTTCCAAGTGTTTTAGTGTGTTGCTATGTAGTTGTTAGGGTGTTGTGGATGGTTGCTAAGGCGATGCTATTAAGTTTTTAAGGTGTTCTGAGTGTTTTAGCATGTTGCTATGTAGTAGCTAAGATGTTGTAGATGGTTGTTAGGGTGTTGCTATACAGTTGGTAAGGTGTTCTAAGTGTTTTAGTGTGTTGCTATGTAGTTGTTAGGGTGTTGTGGATGGTTGCCAAGGCACTGCTATGCAGTTGCTAAAGTGCTCTGAGTGTTTTAGTGTGTTGCTATTTAGTTGTTAGGGTGTTGTGGATGGTTGCCAAGGTGATGCTATGAAGTTGCTAAGGTGTTCTGAGTGTTTTAGCCTGTTGCTATGTAGTAGCTAAGATGTTGTAGATGGTTGTTAGGGTGTTGCTATACAGTTGGTAAGGTGTTCTAAGTGTTTTAGTGTGTTGCTATGTAGTTGTTAGGGTGTTGTGGACGGTTGCCAAGGCATTTCTATGCAGTTGCTAAAGTGCTCTGAGTGTTTTAGTGTGTTGCTATTTAGTTGTTAGGGTGTTGTGGATGGTTGCCAAGGTGATGCTATGAAGTTGCTAAGGTGTTCTGAGTGTTCTGTGTGTTGCTATGCAGTTTGTAAGGTGTTGTGGAAGGTTGCAAGCATTCTGCTATGTATTTGCTAAGTTGTTGTAGATGGTTGATAGGGTGCTGCTATGCAGTTGCTAAGGTGTTCTGAGTGATTTTCACATGTTCTTATGCGGTTGCGACATTTGAATTGTTATGGTAATGCCGTACACACATTCATGTCATTTGATTGCATTCGTCACAGCAGCTGCATAAGGCATTATTATGTAACTTGGCTCTGGGCGCTTCATCACAGCACATATGGTTTGTGCTAGACTTCCAGACACTGCTTTTCCTCTACAGTCAGGTAAATTACAGCTGTCTGTCACTAACATCACACAGATCACGACTAACATGCGTGTTTTAACCGCTTCCAGCTGTTGTGAGCAGACTCAGTGTTCAGATGCTCTTCTCCAAAGTGTTTCTGATGATCTGGCCTCTGCCAATGGACCAATGAAATACAAATGCTGGCCTAAAAACTATAAATCACTAATGCAGTAATTGTGAGACAAGCTGATTGTAAATCTGGCCAAGTATTCAACAGTCTGCTAGGTAACCACACATAAACTTGTGCACATGTATATATGAGTGTTTCTTCAACTATCAGCTATGCAATCACTTAATATACTAAACAACCTTAAAACACAATAGCATTGAAATTAAATTGCTGTAAATTAAAACACTGCTAACAGTGCTGAACAGTTTATATACAGTGGGCAAAGAAAAGAATCACATTTTGTTGCTTTGCAAAGCAACAAAATGTGATTATTTTAAAGGGGGGTGATTCATTTTAGATTGGGACAAAATAGTTCACTATTTGTTTATCATAGTTTTTAAAATGCAATGATTGGAATTTTACTTTACTAATATTCATCGCTTGAGACAAAATGTTTGAGTCATAAGTAAAACAATAAAATCTGTCTAAAAGGCTTTTGAAAAGTAGCACAAAAAAATGTAAACCGAACAGTTTTCAAAGTTTAATATGACCTTTATATAATGAAAAGAAAAAAAGTAAATCTGTTCGTTTTAATAAAAATCAACCCCTGGGAAATGAAAGTGCTGATAGTTGAATAAACACCCGTTTGCGTGAGAGATAGTCTCCAAGCGCTCTTTTCTTTCGCACAGAGTCTGCGCGCTCACTGACGCCATCAGCAGTCGCTGCTGTCTGATTAGCATTCGTCAGCGTCGGTCACCTGCTTCCCAGACGCCCCACTGTTTTAACCGGAGGCACCGTCGTTGACTGCAGGGGCGAGAGTGACCGAAACGGCCCACAGACACCGGACACTTACAAAGAAGACTAATAAACATGATTAGAAAGATGAAACAGAAAAGAGGGACTTGTATAAATGATGCCACCCACAACGTCTTAATGACTAAATCAATCACACAAGCTGAGTTTAGGCTGGTGCCACAGTCCAGAGCCAACCAGTCAGTGGGTCTGCACACAGAACGTAATGCGTCTAGGGGGAAAATTCATTCATTTATTTGAGAAATCATTTTGGCTTTGAACTTTAACATTACACTCTAAAAAATGCTGGGTTGTTTCAACCCAACTTTGGGTCAAATATGGACTAACCCAACTTTTGGGTTAAAAAATTAATGTAAAAATTAAACCCAACAGCTGGGTTAGTCCATATTTGACCCAAAGTTGGGTTGAAAGTTGAAACAACCCAGCATTTTTTAGAGTGTAAGATCAAATTGTTCTATTCTCACTCGCTAGAGAAAAAAAAAAAGACGTAAAAATGAATGACCCAAATATGAACAAGTGAGTGTTTATGATCATTGCCAGTGAAAAAGAAGTGCACTTAATTGTACTGAATGTGCATTTAGTGTACTTAAAAAATCTGCACTTACAGTTAATGTAATTTTAATGAAATAAAAGTCCACTAAAAGAGAGACAATTTTATGACTTATCACACTTGAGCAGAGTTTAAGAAATTACTTAATCATGCTTTAAAGAAGTGCACTTACTTTGATGTGTTGACTAACATACTAAAGCACATGATTATGCTTTTAACTGTAGCGTGTTATTCAATATTACTTGATATTAAGGTGACATCATTTAATAAGTATATTATTATAAGTTAATATAATTTAAATGTACTAAATTGCAACTTAATTATTACAAATGTATAATTACACATATATATAAATACTGTATAAGGCACACAAGTTTCAATTATAGAAATGACATTAAAGTATATTTAGTTTACCATAAATGTTTGTCGGTACTTTAACCAATAGATATAATTATGAAATGACATAAAAATGTCCTACTTAAGTGAGTAAAAAAAAGCACTGAAAGTTCAGCTTATTTCATTTAATATAAATTTAAACTATAATAAATTTTTATTTAATTGCAAACATAATGCAATTTAGTGTGCAAAAACATTATATGCAATGTGCACTTAAGTATATTCTTTTCATAATAAGTACTCTTTTTAAAAGTATGTTAAAGTGCACGTCTTTTTCACAAGAGAAGAGTCAACATTTGGACTCACTTTATTAAACGGCTAATAATACTGTGGTTGGAAGACAATACCAAGAGATTTTGTTTTTTTTCTATGTAAAATATTACCCAATATCTTTCATTGTTCTGTCATATAATAGGTGAGGGGGAACAGATGGACCTGCCCTGATCATGTTTTATCGTCCGTATTATTTTCAATACATTATTTTGTTATTCAATATTCAGTTTCTTGCTGTGTTCTAATGGATCATCCGTCTGAGCCGTGTCCAGGCCGCTCAAAGCCTCCAAACAAAACATCACACACTCTTCACAGCGAACAATGCGTTTGGTGTTGCCAACATTCACACGGAGGAGTCCAGCTCTAATCTGAAGAAAGAGAGAACTAAAATCTCTTACCTTTCAAAGCCCAGCTGTCGTATCGATCTCTCCCATGATGAGCCTGCAAACATACAACACAAGGAGGTGTTCAAAACAGCATGAGATGAAGAGACACTGAAGTTTTCAATCTATGATGTGATGTAGTGGCTAAAGCTGAAGGCTGGTAATCAAAAGCTTGCTGGTTTGAAACATGAAAGTAGTGAACTATGAACCACTGGCTGTTCATTGGATTGCGAAAAGTCTCTAAATGACAGAAAATGCTCGCTGACGTCAGCCGAAAAGGAAAGTCATTTCAGAGTCATTTATATTATCTTATAGGTTGATTTTGAAACATTATGAAGACATTTTGTTTTCATTAGATTAGCATGCACTGATAAATTATTCAGCTTGATCGCATTCGTTTTCATAGGAATTCAAACTATCTGGGTTTATGCTTAAATATACAATATGAACATATTTGAAAAAAAAACAACATATTTGACAAAAAACACTAAAATGTAAAGCTATTTACGTATGCAAGGCTTTAGAAATGTAGCCTAAAAATCTTTAGGAACCCCTAATGTTCTTATATTCATAATATGTTTACATTCTAAAAATTGTTTTATATTAACTTTTTACTCTATATATTTCTGAGGATTAATATTTTTTAAAAAATGAAAAAATAAATTATCACTTTTATTCATCAAGGCGCATTAAACTGATCAAAAGTGACAGTAAAGACATTTATAATGTTGCAAAGATTTCTATTTCAAATAAATGCTGTTCTTCTGAACTTTCTGTTCATCTGTGAATCCTGAAAAATAAAATGCATCACAGTTTCCACAAAAATATTGTGCAGCACGACTGTTTTCAACATTGATAATAATCAGAAATATATATTGAGCAGCAAATCAGCATATTATTATGATTTCTGAAGATCATGTGACACTGAAGACTGGAGTAATGATGCTGAAAATACAGCTGCGCATCACAGAAATAAATTACAGTTTAACAGAGATTCACACAGAAAACAGATGTTTGAATTGTAAACATATTTTACTGTATTTGATCAAATAAATGCAGCCTTGATGAGCAGAAGAGACGTCTTTCAAAAACATAAATAAATCTTACCAACCTCAAACTTTCGAAAGCTAATGTAGATGTAGATGCAAGATTTAACAAGTAATATGTATTAAACATTTTGACTTCATTGGACTTAAACCATGCTTTAAGTGTACTGTAACTAGTGTTAACTAGTAGCAACTAGTTACTGTAATAACATTACTTTTTGCAGTAACTAGTAGTGTAACTAACTACTAGTAAGATTTCAGTAATAATATTACAGTTACCATACATAAAACAGCTCGTTACTTAGTTTCTTTTGATGCCTCAACCCCTACTGATTTAAAATCCGACAATCCAATAATTCATTTTCATAATTTTCACGACTCGCATTAATTGACAATTAATACAACACTTTTACTTAAAAGTCACTATCAATCACCACTGAGTGTTTGTAAAAACTTCTGACTGCGATCCAATGCAGATTTTGGTCAAATGGTGAGGCAGAAATATATTGTTAGTAACATTTTAAAATAATTTTATGTGGAAGATACACAATTACAACTTCTGTGGGGCGTGAAGGAAAAGTAATGTAACTAGTAGTGTAACTAATTACTGTTGCCAGATAGTAATAAGTAAAGTAATAATATAACTTGTGAAAGGAGTAACTAGTAACGAGTAATAAATTGCATTTTTGGAGGAACTAGCCCAACACTGACTGTAACACACAAGTCGCTTTAGATAAAAGCAAATGACGGTAACACTTTATTTTAAGGTGTCCTTGTTACACATGTTACATGCACTTACTATTATAATAACAATTAATTATGCATAATTACATGCAAGTAACCCCAATCCAAACCTTAGAGTAAGTACATGTAGTTAATATTACTCAGTACTTAAATGTATAATTACACTGGAACAACGACACCTTAAAATAAAGTGTAACCCAAATGACTTCTTATTTACAAAATGCATGTGAAACGGCATTGTTTTGGTGTTATTCTGTCTTTCATTCGATCCAGAGGCACGACGAGATGAGCTGAGCAGAGAAATGACAAATGCTGTACCTGGTGTGCATGAGCTTCAGACACCTCATTCACATCAGTCCAGAGATTCAAACCATATGCTGTGAACCACACACTGCGCACCAGATATATCACCAGATCCTGCACGTTTCACAAGCCCTGAGGCAGAACACTCACGAAAACATTTGGCAATGCTTTATTGTGTTCTAGCTTTTTGTCGGCAGAAAGTACAAACAAAACATCATGTGATTCATAGCATACTGTGCTGCCCTTCAGTAAGAGTTTGTACTTCAGTAAGACGTCTGTTTACAGGGACACTTCCAGGTATTCTGTGTGTCTGCCAAGTGAAATACACGCCTTTCAGTCGATCCTCCAAGATTTGACCAATTATTAGTGATGTAATTAGGTTGTTCATTGCTTGACAACTGAATCACATTGGCAAACTGGAAAATGAACAAACCAGAAACACTATAAGAACAAAAAATGATTAAAAACCACATGTATATCTTTGACATCATGTGGCATCATCCAAAATATGTTAAATTTCATATTAAAGGAATAGTTCACCCAAATACAAACATTATCTGAAAGTGTGCTCATCCTCAAGTCAGCCAAGATGTAGATGAGTTTGGATATTTAGAGAAATGCAGCATTGCATCAGTGTCTCAGCAATGGATGCTCTGCAGTGAATGGGTGCCATCAGAACTCTCATTCTGACGGCACCCATTCACTGCAGAGAATCCAAGAAATGTCAGAATTGTTTCTAAGACTTGTTTCTACAAGGATGCATCAAACTGATTGATATTGACACTTAGAGACATTTAAAGAGTTTCTTTTTCAATTAAATGCTGTCCTTATGTTCTTTCTATTCATCAAAGAAAAATATCCAAGCACAAAGTTTTACATAGATAACAAAATAATTTAAAAAAAATCATGCATAATAAGGACATGCTTTTACTTAAAAGAAAAAAATGTATAAAAAATAAATGTCAAATTTTATACTTTGTTTCCATTTTATATTTTGTTTCCAAAATAATAAACCATATGCATAAACATTAAATTCACAATGCTGACAAAAAGACTTGCTTACAGGTTTTCACTTGACATTTACACGACATACACCCTTAAATCACTAAATACCTGAATCTAAATCAGTCGTGTAAGAAAGCATAGATAGGTAATAACAGTATTTAAGCAGGCCATCACTTTCTTTTCTCTGGTGAGTATCCAAATACTTTTGTTAAGCCCAATTACTAACAGACACCAGATTTAAAAAAAAAAAAAAAGTTCTTATAGAGACGTTCACGAATATGTCTAGAGTCTAATATCAAAGCTCAGAGAGTTTCCTTGTTGACATATAATGCTATATTTGAAAAAGCTCTATCAAGTCAAACTGAGTTGTGATATCAAGAGCGATCAGAGAATGCAGATCTTGGCGTGTCGAATCATCACAGCTCATAAAACATTGCAACATTTCACATCTAAAGTCCAGCGGTAGTTCTGGTTTCTCCAGACGGGCTCCTGTTGTGTCGGGTGGAGATCTCAAGGCCTTCGTGATGACGCTCAGGAAGGAGCGCGGTCTTCTAAACAGAGACTGCTCGATTGAAAGCCTGATGATTTCATTATATTTCTTTGTGGGAAGACTGAAAACACACGGAGATCAGGCTGAACTCCTCGATCGTTTCAGACCGTCTGTGAAAGTTATCAAGCCAGCAGGGAAATAAAGCAGCGTATCTTCTGTCTGGAGTCCACATGAAGCGACTCGCAGAGAAGGTGCGGAGCTTATTTGGAGAGATTCGGTTTAGATGTTTTCAGATGTGGTCGTCATTTTCATTCTCAGTTATTTTCATAATATCACCCGAGGAGAACAAGCCCAGTGGTTTCTTATTGTTGAAACTCAGCCATCCGCGTGGTTGTTCACATAGATTTACTGCTAAAAACTGTTTAAAAACCATCACTTGTTATTTCATTTATTTTCTTTTCTAAGGTATGGAAGCCTATTTCCACCAAAGAGTAAAAAATAAAACAATTAATTGTGAGATAAAGCTTAAAATAAGAACATTTGAGTGAAACAAATTCACATTGTGAGATATAAAGTCACAATGTTGACATATTAATTTGCTTTGTGACATAAAGTTACAATTCTGAGAAACATCTATGCAATTACAAAAAATGTAGGTTGCCATTAGAAGAAATAAAATGATTATTACTTCACTACTACTATTTATTTTAGGCAGAAACAAGCCTTCCTATGAGAGTACAACACTAACTCTCAAAATACACAACAATAATTTATACACTGTAAAAAAACAGATTTTTCAAAGTTGCAAATAAAACAAAGATGATTGGATTATGTTTTATAAGATATTACTATTTCAATTTTTTCTATTTTTTTTTAGCTTGCATTTTCTTTGTAATTATTCATGAAATGTACTTGCAATTTCTGAGTGTATATGATTTCAAAGTAAATCCTGCACTAGTTTTTATGTGTATGTATTGCATTTTTTTTTTAAATCATTAAATAAAAAATCCCTGAATATATACACTACTGTTCAAAAGTTTGGGGTCGTTAAGATTTTAAAAAATGTTTCTAAAAGTCGTCTCTTCTGCTCACCGAGGCTGCATTTATTTGATCAAAAAAGTAATATTGTGAAATGTTATTTTCTATGTGAATAAACTAATGTATTTCTGTGATGCGCAGCTGTATTTTCAGCATCATTACTCCAGTCTTCAGTGTCACATGATCTTCAGAAATCATTCTAATATGCTGATTTGCTGCTCAACAAACATTTCTGATTATTATCAATGTTGAAAACAGTTGTGCTGCACAATATTTTTGTGGAAACTGTGATGCATTTTATTTTTGCAGGATTCACAGATGAATAGAAAGTTCAAAAGAACAGCATTCATGTGAGACACAAATCTTTTATAACATTATAACTGTCTCTACTGACACTTTTGATCAATTTAATGCGTCCTTGCTGAATAAAAG